AATCGTTCGTTCACTGATCTTTCGTAGCATAAAGATGGCGTTTCTTGTGCCACAATCCTCGACAAAACTTCATTGGACCTTTGAAATTTCAGATCTAATTTTGCCCTCGTGCTCTCATCATCAATATTTTCAAGAGAAGTTTTGTAAGATGACTCAGCAAGCTGATTATGTAGGGGATTAAATGTATATAGTCATTATAAACATTCAACATTTTTAATTAGTTTTATTATTAATTTTATTATTTCCTCTTCAACTTTTACGTTACGTTTGTTTGGCTAATAAAATAAAATTATAATCTAATCCGACAACAAAAGCGAAATAATATTAAATCGAACATTCCTCAACAATTGTTCGATGTAATTCACTTTCCGTTGCATTAGTTTTTTTAGGCAATGCAATAAATATTTACTTGGATAGATCTTCAGAAATTTCAAAGTTTCTGTCATTTTTTCAATGCCAAATTCATCAAGGCATTTAATTTCTTTAACAACTATTTCATCTGGGCCTGCCATAATCTTCGACAAAACACTTGAAATTTCAAGTCTAATTTTGCTTCGTGCTCTCATCATTAGAATTATCAAAAGAAGTTTTGTAAAACTGCATTTTCAGCTTTGATCATCAAGCTGATTGTTCGTTGAAGTTCACATTCCGTTGCATTAGGTTTTTTAGGCAAAGCAATGAATATTGACTTAGATAGATCTTCAGAAAATTCGCCGCTGTTATATATCTCATTTAAATTTTTTGTCACATTTTCAATGCCAATATCTTCAAGGCATTTAATTTTTTTTAACAACTATCTCATCTGGGCCTGGCGCTTAATTCGATTTTATTTTGGAAAGAGCGGCATGAACTTCAGATCTAATTATCTATAATCTTTATAAGTTTTTTTAATAGGAGGCTTTTAATCACGGATATCATCTAAAAAATCGTTAATGTATTTAGTCCATTTTTCAAATACATTTTTTTTCTTCAACAGTACTTTACCGAATTTAGCTTTTATGCATCCAATAGCGGTACAAGCCTTTTTACCAGTGATTATTTTTGACGTTTTATTACATTGCATTTGTATTACTATTTACAATCTGTTCAATGACTTTGCACTTTTCATTTAACCATTTTTTCTTTGCCTTTAAGCACATTTTTGATTGTTTTGTCCAGCTTTTTTTTATCTATCAGTATCTGGCTCAATTTTTCAATATTTCGTATTGAATTTTTATCACCGTTTTTAACTTATTTATATAGAAAACAACACAACACAAAAATCATCAAAAAGATATTTGGCATTAACGTTGAAATAATTCACTAAAACGACAATCCACACAATCTAAGGATTACAGAATCTTTGTTCATCGAACAAAGATGTCCAGCAATAAATAATGCATATTAATAACTCGGCTTTAAAATCTGGAATTTTTTTTGAAAAATTCTAAATTTCAACGATAATACCAATATTTTAAAAAAGCAATCCTGATTTGATTGGAAACTACAAACCGATTTCCTTGCTTTCACCGTTTTCCATAATATCAAAAAAAATCTCAGTTGAGGCTTTAAATTTTTACCACTTAATTTTTCAATACATGTCAGGGAGGTCACCTATATTATAATTAAAAGTTGAGCGCTATGACATTTGTTTCGGGAGATAAGGGGCGATAAAAGAACTGAACGAAGAGAGATTAGAACGAATATAGAACGTTGTTGAACGAGCGAATTGAATATTGTGAAAACGAATTTGGAATGAATATTGTGAAAACAAATTTGAATAAATATTATTTGAAATTAAATTTATTTAATAAATTTAATACAAAAACGTTGAATTGAATAGAATATTGTTAAAATATTGCCAAAACGGATAAAACAATATTAAACTAATATATAAAAATAATCTTAAGAAATTTTGAACGATAAAAATATTCAATATGTTATTATAATGTTCTGTTGCCGAATTAAATTATAATTTCTGTTGATTGTCTAGTTTCATTGATCTTGATTATTGACGTTATATTAGTGACGAACCTGACATCTGGCGCAGTCGACAGGGTAACTAGGCAGGTCTACTATCAACAGAAAAAAAAAAGGAGAAGGAAAAAAAAAAAAATTTTTTGAGAATATTGATTATATCATTACAATATAATGGATAAATTGGCAGAAATTAAAAAAATGTCTACCGAGCGCTTAATGACGAAAATGATTAAATCAGGAAGGGATGAGGCAGAGGTACGATCAATGTCAAGACAAGAGATTATCGATGCATGTCTCGCTAGCGAATTGATGAGAACAGAACTTCTGACCGAAACATCTGAACCTCCCCAGAACGTAACTGAAACGGAAAGATGGAAATTTGAGAAAGAACTTGAATTTAAAGAAAGACAAGCGGCGAAGGAACTTGAATTTAAAGAAAGACAAGCGGCGAAGGAATTTGTTGAAATAGATGGAAAACGACAACATGTTCACGCCAATAAAATCAAACAATACTATGAGCGGATGGAACAAGCTATGATATCGAGCTGCACCCTCATAAGAGAAAAGGATGTGGAACTAGGTAGAATAACAACATTTGAGAAAGACTATCAGAATATCTATTGTCAACTAGATCCCCGAAAGTTGGATCATCTTTCGACGCTGGGAAAAGAAGAGATTAACACGGTAATACAACTACACCGACAAGCTTTTTCCAACCAACCAGGATTATATAGAGCCATCGAACATGAAATCAAAATGCTACCGGAATTTGTACCCAAGCAATTTAGACCATACAAAGTACCTGAATTGTTAAAAGAATCAGTGAAACTACAAATCAAAGATATGTTAGAAACAGGAATCATTATACCGTCGAAAAGCGAGATGGTAAGCCCGATGGTTTGCATATTGAAAAATTCCGGAGATGTGAGACTCGCCATAGATTACCGTTATGTGAATAAATTTTCTGCGAATGATTGCTTTCCCAATCCGGATATACCAGATGTATTACAGCGGGTGGGTAGAGCAAAGTACATCAGTTGTTTCGACGCAAAGTCGGGGTATTGGCAAATCCCGATGAAGCAAAAATCACAATGGCTTACTGCGTTTGTTTGTGAAGAAGGTGTGTTTGAGTTTACCCGAATGCCTTTTGGCCTCAAATCAGCCGGGAATACATTTGTCCGAGGAATAACACAGATTTTGAAGGATGTTAGGGAATTCACTGAACCGTTTATAGATGATATCGCAATATTCTCAGATTCATGGGAGGACCATATGAAACATTTAGACCAGTTTTTAAGCGTGATACAAAAAACGGGATTGACGCTAAATATGACAAAATCTACGTTCGCCCAGAATAAAGTAAAGTTTGTTGGACACATAATTGGATCCGGATCCATAGAAATAGATAAATCAAAATTAGAAACTTTAGATAGAATGAACCCGCCAACAACGAAAAGAGATCTGAGGAAGATGATTGGATTCTTCAGTTATTTTAGAAACTTTATCCCGATGTTGGCAGATACGATACACGTCATCACCAACCTTACACGCAAAAATGCACCCAGTAAAGTACAATGGGAAGAAATCCATCAACAAGCATTTAATAAGATAAAACAACAATTAATGGATGTTACCGCAACACATACGATCGACTTTGCTAAGGAATTCGGAATATACGTTGATGCTAGTGAGGTAGCAGTAGGGGGTTGTTTAATACAATGGTCGGAGGAAGGAAAAGAATTGCCTATCGCATTTGCAAGTAAGAAATTAATATTAGCACAAACAAAATGGTCAACGATCGAAAGAGAGGCATTTGCCGTTATTTGGATATTGGAGAAATTCCGACAGTGGATATGTTTGTCGCGGATAGTCATATTTTCCGATCATAACCCATTGAAGTACCTGTTGGAAACGGCTCCAAGAAGCGCTAAATTGACCCGCTGGGTTTTATCATTACAGGAATATAATATAGAATTTAGATATCACCCAGGTTGTAAGAACGTAGTAGCGGACTTCCTATCACGAAATCCACCCATTGATAACTCAGAGATGCCTAAAGATGAGGAATAAAAGGGAGGATGATGACATTGCTCCCCCCTGTCATCATTTTTGGGTGGGGGGTATGTCAGGGAGGTCACCTATATTATAATTAAAAGTTGAGCGCTATGACATTTGTTTCGGGAGATAAGGGGCGATAAAAGAACTGAACGAAGAGAGATTAGAACGAATATAGAACGTTGTTGAACGAGCGAATTGACTATTGTGAAAACGAATTTGG